TGTATATGATGAGACATGTCCTCACAATTGCGGGTTATCTGAACCCCAGCAGATGGCCTATGCAAGTTTCGGAAATAAAGATGGCGGGTGAAAATAGTTCCAGCGATGACTATCAGCTCAGCAAAGCTGAGGGCATCCTTCAACAGGACCAAACATTTATTTATTTTAGTTAATTTTTATTTCTTGGGATTTCTATCCCACTCTCCCTCTCAAGCAGGCTCAGGGCGGGTTACAGCAAACTGACAAAACAATAAAAACAATATCCACATAATTCAAGTTAAAAAAACCCTAAAAGCCAAATTAATTGTAGATGATGGCGAGCTAAAAATTCAACAGAGTTGACAAGGTCGGTGGGGGGGGGGGCTGCAAAGGTGTGAAGAGACCTCCAGATCACGGAGGTAGGCCCAAGGCACCGCCTACAGTGCAAGCTGGTACAATGCATAATATAGGCAGTTAGAGCAGGAGACGCCGATGTAATCAGACACCCACCACCTCAACCAAAGGCCTGGTGGAACAGCTCCGTTTTGCAGGCCCTGTGGAATTGTAATAGGTCCCGCAGGGCCCTGATCTCACTTGGGATTGTGCTCCACCAGGTCGGAGCCAGAGCTGAAGAGGCTCTGGCTTTGGTCAAGGCTAAACAGATGTCTTTTGGGCTGGTGACTATCAGAAGATGTTGTTCTGATGAGCATAAAGCTCTCTGGCGGGCATACTGGGTGAGACAATCCTGCATGTATGCTGGTCCCTGACCACATGGCGCCTGAAAGGTTAGTACCATAACCTTGAACTTGATCCAGTACTGAACCACAAGTTGGCACAGCACTGGCTGAATGTGCGCCTGCAAAGATGTCCCAGTCAGGAGGTGCGCCGCTGCATTTTACACCAGTTGCAATTTCTGGGTCAAGTTTAAGGGCAGCCCTATGTAGAGCGAGTTACGGTAATCCAACCTGGAGGTGACCACTGCATGGATCACCATAGCCAAATCACAGGAGGAGAGATAGGGAACCAGTTGCCTGACCAGCCAACATGGACTTTATCATATTTTCATGAATACTATTACAAATATGGTAGTAAGGCATCAATACTTTTCCATACCGCTGAGGCAGCACAGAGTGATCAAGCAGAGCCATTCAAAACTGTGAAGGGGCTTCTCCATTTGGTCACTGATGAAGCAATACTCGAACATTCAAAAGCCCTCTGAAACATGTTAGCTAAGCATTTTGCAGATAAAATTTGTACCTAGCAGTGCAATTGCAGTTGCTTGGGTGTGTGCCACTTATACAGCCTGAGGATATTTGGAGCGGTATAAGCCTACTATATTAACCTCCTTGCTTACCTTGGCTAATTACTTCTAGTCTGTAGGGAATTACCCAGTTGGACTGAGTGCTTCTTGAAGCGGAAAAAAAACACCCGTCCTCGATCCCTACCAGTCCGTCTTTCGCCCAGGTCATAAGAACATAAGAACATAAGAGACGCCAATGTTGGATCAGGCCAAAGGCCCATCCAGTCCAACACTCTGTGTCACACAGTGGCCAGAAATACCAGTGCCATCAGGAGGTCCAGCAGTGGGGCCAGGACATTAGAAGCCCTCCCACTGTTGACCCCCCCAAGCACCAAGAAGACAGAGCATCACTTGCCCCAGAGCCCCTAGCTATACCTTGTGGCTAATAGCCACTGATGGACCTCTGCTCCATATGCTTATCTAATTCCCTTTTGAAGCCGTCCATGCTTGTAGCACCCACCACTTCCTGTGGCAGTGAATTCCATGTGTTAATCACTCTTTGGGTGAAGAAGTACTTCCTTTTATCCGTTCTAACCCGACCGCTCTGCAGTTTCATGGAGTGCCCACGAGTCATGGGATGGAGATGGTGTTGGTCGCCTTGACTGACGATCTCCGTAGGCATCTGGATCAGGGTGGTGTGGCAGCACTGCTGTTGTTAGATCTATCGGCCACGTTTGACATGGTCGACCACCAGCTGCTGGCCCAGCGCCTCGCCGACACGGGGATTCAGGGGCTTGCCCTTCAATGGTTTGCCTCTTTTCTCCAAGGTCGGGGACAAAGGGTGGCGACAGGGGACCAGCAGTCCCAGAGACATCCCCTTGAGTGTGGGGTGCCTCAGGGGGCTGTGTTGTCCCCGATGTTGTTTAACATCTACATGCGCCCCCTTGCCCAGAGTTGTGGGCTTGGGTGTCATCAATATGCCGATGACACCCAGCTCTATCTGATGCTGGGCGGCCGGTCGGACTCTGCCCCAGATGACCTGTATCGGGCGTTACAGGCTGTGACTGGGTGGCTCAGACTGAGCCGGTTGAAATTAAACCCGGCAAAGACGGAGGCCCTGGGCCTGAGTCGGATTGGCTCAGGGTTGGGGCTCCCTCTCCCGACCTTTGATGGGGTGCCTTTGGTACCAGTGTCGGAGGTTAGGAGTTTGGGTGTGCGCCTGGACTCCTCTTTAACGATGGAGGCCCAGGTGGCAGCCACAGCCAGGGCGGCCTTTTATCATCTTCAGCCACCTCTCTGAATATCCTCCAGGCCCCCAGTAGGGGTCAGTCACCAGAGGTCGCCATGACTTCCAGGTGCACACGCACTCACACACACACACTTGCACATTTAAAAAAATACCACACACAAAAAAGAGAACCATCTATGTAAATAAAGAAATTACTGTAAAAAAAGGGGGTTTCCATGTTTGTATGAACCACAGAGCTAATGTCCTTAGAAGTATTCTTAGAAGTATTAAAGGCTTGTCTAACAACACCTGGTCTAACCTTTAACAGAGGGGGGGGGGGGGGGGGGTGGAGTCAGAGGTCTGCAGTGAGAAGAGTGACTTGATGACACCCCTCCCCTCCCCTCAATTAGTGCAAATTTCCTGCATGATTCATGACATTGTTCCAAGTATAATCTCATTTTTACACCAACTTACTTTGAAATAAAACCAATTGGACCCATTTTCATAATTTGGAAACTGACCTTTTTGCCCCCCCCCCCGGTCCCACAAGGACCCCCACCTTTCTCCACAATGAGGATGACCCAAAACAGCTTACATCCTCCTCTCCTCCATTTTATCCTCACTACCCTGTGAAGTAGGTTAGGTTGAGAATATGGACATCCATGAGCTTCCATGGCAGAACGGGGATTTGAAACTGGGTTTTCCAGATTCTAGTCTGATATTCTAAACTCTGTCCCACACTGGCTGTCATGGGGTGGCTGCTGTTGAACAGCAGCAAGCAGCTGGGCCTGGGCAAGTTGTGCAAGTTGTCTGGTATCGTTACTTGGTGGCTGTTGCTAGGCCTTGCCCTGTTGAATCCTTCCCTCAAACACCAAAACAGCCCTGAAAATGGCCCTGCCCCCTCCCCCGCCTTTTAATGACCGAAACCAAGCCTGAAAGGCCACTGAAAAGCTACAGGAGCTGCTTATATTATTTGTGTTTTTTTAAAGCCCCCAATGTATTTTTTTAAATATTCCAGATTTTTCTGCAAACCTGGGGCTATTCTCAGATTTCGAGAAAGGTCTCTCTTGCCTGTTCCTGGCTCCAGATTTAAGTATCCATAGATGGTATCATGCTGAGAATTAGATAAATTAATAACATGCTGTATTGATATGGTCTTGATTGTATTCCCTGACCTGCTTATTGTGTTGACCTGACAAAGCAAGAACAAAAACAACTGGGCTCGGGAAGTGTTTTGGAGACACACTTACTAACTCTGATACTGAAAGTAAGCAACCTATTCCTGCCCACTATGCTGGTCATCTCTGTTGGCTTGTCAAGCGAAGAATGACTGTGGAAATGCATGATTCATGTTTTCACATGAAGTAGAGCTTAATTATTTCTTTGACATTCAGCTTTCTTTACAAGTCGTTTTGTTCTTCACAGCTACTGATTTTGCTGCTGGCAGACTGTAAAAAAAGTCTTTCCTTTATATCTGTTACTATCTCTCAGCAATCAGAACGTTTCCCCCCCATGTAATCCCACATTAAATAGAGAAAGCTGGGAAATGGTGACTGTCTTTTAGTGAAACACAGAATAACAAATTAGGTCACATTCCAGTGTACGAAGCACCTAAATGTTAAGAACTAACCAATGCCAAAACAGGCATCAGGTTGCTCTGGAGAGGCAATGTGTCTGGAGAGGCAACATCACCTCATGAGGAGAGGGGGTTTGGGATGAACACTCTTCCTAACACTTCAAAGTAGACGTTTTACTTACTTTTGAAAGATCTGCAGCCCACCATTTAAATTATAAATGGTTTCTCAAGTTGTTTATAAATATTAAGCCACACAATAACAAATGCAAGCAGGTAAAATAAACCATTCTTAACAAGAGCTTCTCACATAACTGATTTTCAGAATCAGGACAGAGGAACACAAAAAGGGGAACTAGAAAACTCAATTCTGTCACTCCCTGCCTGTGATGTGATGCATTTGCTGTGTGGACAAACAGAAGCCTTCTATTTCCTGGTCAATATAGCACCTTTCATAAGCATTACACTCAACTTTGACAACAGCAACAAAAAACACAGCTGAAAGAAAAAGAAAATGAATTCTAATACTGGCTCAAAGGCAAAAAAGCAGAATATTGTTATGGAGAAGCACTGATGACAAAACCTCCACATTCAGAGGTAGAAAACCTCTGAATACCAGTGCCAGGAGGCAACATCAGGAGAAGGCCTTGGCCTCTGTACCTGTTTTTGGCCGAGACTACCTGTCTCACTATGTGAGACAGGATACTGGACTCTTCTTATGTCAGTGTTATCCAGGCCTTTTGGCTTACAGTTCACCACCATCGGACCCTCATAACGAATTGATTTCAGAAGACAGAAATAGTAATCTCTATACAGTTGTGTCCAAGTAAGTGTAACACGCTGGATAACTGGTATGATCAGTTTTAATAAATTTTCTGTAGATGTTATGGCTCCAGAATGGTCAAACAGTAAGTCAGGCTGTTTTTTTGTTCTAAACTAGAAGCAAACAAAGGGTGGGGAGGAGGGGTGGGCGAAAATACCTGTAATTGACCATTTAATGAACTCAGATCTTCCGCTTTCTTTTCCAAAGACTGTACCCAGACTTTCCTTTTTTGCCTACATCTTGAAGCAGCTGCTCTGTTCCGTTCTAGAAATTTTCGCCTCTTTTCGTCAGGATCTTCGTTTGCTGCTCTCCTTCGGCGACCACCTGTATTTGGAGTCTGAGGCGCAGGCTGAGCTGGAGAAGCCTGTGGGAACCAAGGAAACTTGCAATTCAAAAGGGAATCCAGATACAAACGTGAATATGTCCCTACAGCCTGGGTGCTCTTGAATCCGTTTCCCATGTTCTATTAAATTGTTCAGTATACGTCCGAGAAAAAAATCTGAACCCCCTTCTCTGTACATGGTGTGGCCTCCCCGACACTGTCAAGGTTCAGCAATTACTTTCCGGACACAGCTTTCTCAGAACCTCTAATGTCGCCTGTTTTCTCCAGTCTGCAATTCGATTCAGGGAAGGTATTAACTGATCTATTTCATTTTGGTTGGCCTTACGATCGCGTTGTCACCTTGATTTTTTTTTTGATTTTTTTAATGTACTTTTATCTTTGGTATGCCTATAATGGTTGTCTGTCTATACACATAAACACGGGGGGGGGGATATGGGGTCTGTTTTTTAATCTGGTTTTAACTGGAATTTTTAAAAACTATTATTGAACCATCAGGAAAGGAAGGATATACATTTTTAAATAAAAAATAAACATACAGCTGGCTCAGAATATACTGGGTAACACATGGAATCTTTAGATTTTTTTAAAATTAAAAACAGAAGAAGAGTATGTACATCTGACACGGTGTACAAAGTGGGTGTACCTAACATAACTTGGCAGTGTGATGGGAAATCACAATGATCTAATGGCCTGTTTTGATAATTAAAGTAGCATGGGTCAAAGTCACCATGGCATAGATCACAGGAGATTAATACACATTGTTTTAACCTCCTCATCTTAAAAAAAAAAAATCCATGCAAGTAAGTCCCAACATAAAGCAGTAAAAGAATTGTGCAGGCATCACTTTCCTTAAAAACCTCTCAGAAAACTTGGAACAGGTTTCCGTTAGGGAAGCCGTAGGCATAGGATTCCCTGATTAGGGAAGGATTTTAACCAGATAGCCAAGGAGATCATCCTTTCCAACAATAAACTCATGATGATAAAGTTGCTTGGAAAAACTTGGGTGTATGAATTTTGACATTCTATACAGCAAAACATCTAGCCTAACGCAAAATAAAAATATGCCTACCAGGTCTCCACACATGGAGACTGTACAGCAATTAAATAAAGGTTTTCTTGAAATCCAGTACTATATTAAAGGAATGCTCTCCCCCTGGAGGCTCAACTGAAACCTACGTTCCTTTTCTTTAGGTGCCAGGCCAAACATTTCTCTCTACCCAGTTTTTTAATGAAAGGGTTCCATCTTTGTTAAGTTGTTTTAGCTAGCCTTTGGTCCGTTTTATTCATATAATTTTAGACTCTTGTACTTTGTGTGCTTTTATTGGCACTTTTAAAACTTCTGTATTGCTACGTACAAATTTATCATATGTTATATTTCTTGATATGTTATACTTCCCCTTAATAAACATTTTAAAAATGGGAAAAAACCCTTCTGTATTGCTGATATGCTTTTTAATTAATTGATTTTGTCTTGCTGATAGGCTTGTGTTCGTATGGTCTTTGCTGTCTGCTTGGTTCTATTGTTGCGAGCCACCCCCAGCACAGTTGGAAAGGTGGACCATGGATTTTCTAAATAAAGTAAATGTCAGAGGACTTGTTTTCAAAGCACACTTGTGCCCCTGCACCTTTAATTTGAAATTCATATGTGGTTACTGGAAGTCTCAAATGCACACTTTACTTTCCACACATTAGCAAAAAACTAGTGGACTTCTTCACCATCAATACAAGGGCTAGAAAAATCCTCTCACAGATGAAAATTGCCCAAACAATTGCTTGGCCAGAACTAATGCTACCTGTAAGCTGTGGAGTCTTGTGAGCAAAAATTCTTCTTTGTGAGCTCCTGGCATTAAAGTTGTGAGTGAGCCATTTGGCTACTGCATAAATTAGCTAGCTCTGGAGCCATCCTTCCTGAGTTAAGACAAAAAAAAAAAAGTAAAGTGAGCTGGAGGCTAAAAAACTGTGAGCTAGCTCACACTAACTCAGCTTAGAGGGAACACTGGCCAGAACACTATATTCCATCTGCTTATCCCACCTTTTCATGCACGTCTAAACTGGATCAGTACCACTTTGGAGATGGTGTGTTCTATTTTGATGAGTGACTCAGTGAGAACCAAGGAAACTGTTCCTTGTATTTTCTAGTGTTTTACTTCCCCGAGGTCTCTTGCCATGGTGATTCTGAAGTTCGTGTGGCCTTCATGAATGATGCCCTCCCTTCACTTTCAGCTTGTGTATTAGTTGGCTCAGAATATGAGTAAATGTGAGCAGCCAAGGTGGGCTGTAGCAACACGTGGAGCTTAGTCACACTTGAAGATTGAAAAAAAACCATTAAGGGACAAACTGACAACAATCTATAAGCCCACACATATCGCTCAGTGATGCTAGTTTCATGCGATGCTAAAATCCATGTGGCCTATAGCCCTATAGCATTTTAGGGGGGGGGGGGTTGGGAGGGGGATTAAGCAATTAATTTGGGATGCAGCTAGGGTTGCCAGCTCTGGATTGGGAAATACCAGGAGATTTTGGGGTTGGAGCCTGGGGAGGACGGGGTTTGGGAAGGGGAGGGACCTCAGCAGAGTACAATGCCATACAGTCCACCCTACAAAGCAGCCATTTCCCCCATTGGAACTGATCTCTATTAGCCAGAGATCAGTTGTAATAGCAGGAGATCTCCAGGCCCCACCTAGAGTTTGGCAACCCTAGATATGGTTGGATGGCTGAAGCAGAGTTGATTGAAACTAAATCCATTGAAGACAGAGGTCCTGTGGCTGGGTCAAGGTGATGCTGGGGCGGGACGCCAACTTCCCCCTCTCGACAGAGTGCCTCTGACACCGGGACCAACCATCAAGAGTTTAGGCGTGATCCTGGATGCCTCCCTATCAATGGAGGCATAGGTCGCCAACGTTAACTAGGCTGGCGTTTTTCCATCTACGCCAGGCTAGACAACTGGCTCCCTACCTGTCTCACCAAGATCTAGCTACAGTGACCCACACAACAGTCACCTCCAGACTAGACTACTATAAATCGCTCTATGTAGGGACTACCCTTAAGACTGACCCGGAAACTGCAGCTGGTCCAGAATGCAGTGGCATGGGTCCTTATGGGGACATATTCAACTTGTGCTCCACCATCTGCACTGGCTCCCAGTTGAATACTGGATCAAATTCAAGGATATGGTATCGACCTTCGAAGCCCTAAATGGTCTGGGACAAATGTATCATGATGGACCGCCCCTCCTGGTATGTCCCCCAAAGGGTGCTTTGCTTAGCTGATAACAACTTGCTGGTAATTCCCGGCACAAAGGCTGTCCAGCGATCTGTGATCAGGGCCAGGGCCTTTTCAGCCCTGGCCCCAATCTGGTGGAATGCTCTGTATAATGAGCCCCGGTCCTGCGGGACTTGAAACAATTTCACAGGGCCTGCAAGACAGAGCTGTTTCATCAGTCACATGGTCAAGGATGAGTGACGGCTTCCCACTTTGAACCATCTCCTGAACTGCCCTTTACTGTGCCATCTAATGAGGAATGAATATTATGACGGTTGTGACTGTTAGGATTGTTTTTTTAATCATTTTGAAGTTTTAGGATTATGTATTCATTGTGGTAACCCGCCCTGAGCCTGCTAGCACGGTAGGGCGGGCTAGAAGTCCAATTTAATAAATAATAATAATAAAAGTTGATAGAGCACAAGCTCAAACCTATCCAACAGCAGGGGACCACAGCAAAACTTTTGTCCTAGCAGAATACTGTTATGCCTTAGAATTCCCCTAATATCTAAGAGACTTCACTTTGGCCTACTTTAAAATTCTAACTTCAGCTTTTCTGGTAGGAAGATACTTCTGTATTCCCCGTGCTGAGCATGTTTGTCATTGCCAATCGAATGCAGCTGAAACAGCTAAACATGTGCTATTGCCCTTTAAAAAAATAATGACATTTCTGCATTATGCATCACCCAAATCTGATCCAATTTTCCAGGCAGATCTGACAAATTTCATATATCCCTTCTCTAACGGATTCCAACGAAGAAACTCTTAAGGTAGCTAAATTCTCTGCTTCAGCCTGTTTAACAAGGGGGCATTTGGTTAAGTCTTTTTATTAACTACTCAGGTATCATGGAAGTTAGGCTATGAGTTTTTACTCTATGTGTTTACTCTTCTCTGATGTGTTGCTGATTCTGTTGACTACACTGAGTCAGCTGATCACGGATCATAATAAAATTAATTGAATCGGGAGGAAAATCCACATCTTGGATCCACAGTTTCCATTCCCACTGGTGGCAGAGCCTTCTTCCAATGCAAGGAACCCTCCTTCAGCACGACACGTCTCTTCCGCTGCAGCAGGGCTCCTCGTGCCAAACAGATCCAAACCCATTCACAACCACAAACTATGAACAGAACTTGGACCTAACCCAGCTGCTTCTCTTCCTAACTCATCTTCAGAATTTTGCCTTAAAACTGAACCGAATGGTGCTACAGCAAAACAGAGGCAGAAGCCAGGCCTCCTACCGGTGTTTCAGTAGTAGACGTGGCAGGTTGTTGTAGCGACTGCGTTCGTGCTTCTTCAGACCGAGTTCTGACCAATCCGCTAGTCTGTCCCTTGGCAGTATCTCCGTTTGTTACCTGAGAGTGCTGCTGGGTCAAAGCAGCTTTTAATCTCTGAAAAAACAAAAGAAAAAAAAGGGGGGGGGAAAGGCCTGTGTTTATCTCCATAATGAACCACGTTATTCAATATCACAAGGTACTTACTTTACAATTCACCATTTTATACTGCTGCAGGTACTTTCCAAAAGGTCTAGTGACCTCACCCTTGGCAAAGTCAAGAAGTATTCAAAGTGTACGGGAGAGGATGGAACACAAACCTTTTGTTCTCAAAGCGTCAGTTATCCCTAGTTAGGTTCAAGACGCAGACAAGACAACACGATCAGAAAATGTGAGGGTGTCAAGCTTGCTCCACTGCAGCTGTACATGGCATTTAGCTATAGGCACAATTGCAAAGAGGGGCCCTTGAAAAATAAAGACTAGTCATCTCTTAGTACTATTATTATTATTATTTATTTATTTATTTGATTTTTATCCCGCCCTCCCGCCGAAGTGGCTCAGGGAGGCTTACAACATTAAAACCAATAAAACAATGCCTCTAAAACAATCTATAAAAGTACACTAAAATCGTAATTTACACACAGTACAACATGCCCATGGCGGCAACTATAAAGTGCTATCATGCTTAGTCCGGGTTGTTAAATGCTTGGCGGAATAGCTCCATCTTCACCGCTCTCCGGAACTGGCAATGTAACATGCCATTGAATGTAACATGCCATTGAATAGTGCCAAATTACGTTGACGAAACTTTTATGTTAAAGAGCAGGAACTTATACACCTAAAAATGCTTGTGTTTCAAATTACCAGCTCAAATGATCACAAGCATACTTAATAGGTACTGTGTCTACATAATGAAATACATCTGAGGACATAATACAAAAGCCCATGAAGGCTGCACTTCAAAAATATAGCCAAGGACACATTTCTGTTTCTGCTCCCAAACACAAGACCTCTCTCTTTTCACAAGAATATGCATTAAAATACCTTTAAATGTCTTAGTTTTTTTGATATGAGCCAAATCATAATGTTTTTTTTAAAGTTCAAGAGTGTTACAGATTCAAAACAGCATCATACTTTGGATCATACTGACTGCTGACTCATCAACCTGGAATTTATTTTAAAGGTGTAATACACAAACACACACATGCATGACACCAAAAATACATTATCTGAAAAGCATTGGAGCTATCAAGCCTGAATTTAAAAAAAACGAAAAAGAAGAAGAGATTGGATTTATATGCCACCCTTCACTCAGGAGTTTTAGAGCGGTTTACAATCTCCTTTCCCTTTCCCTCCTCACAACAGACACCCTGTGAGGTAGGTGGGGCTGAGAGAGCTCTTTCAAGAACTGTTCTTGAGAGAATGGCTCTGAGAGAACTGTGACTGACCCAGGGTCACAACAGCAGCTGCATGTGGAGGAGTGGGGAATCAAAAGCGGTTTTCCCAGATTAGAGTCCATGTTCCTAACTACTACACCAAACCACTACACTAAAAAAAACAACACACACACATATTTTATTTAATTGCCTGTCCCATTACATTTAATAAATATTATATGTTCAGACAACTCACATCCTGCCTTTCTGCTCTCCAAAGTACCCAAGGCAATGTACACAGGAATAACAATAAAAGCATTCATGTATATTGTGTAAAATTGAAACCAAATTAAAAACACAGCAACAGCAGCAGAAGTTAAATATACAGGTTCTTGCAAGAGGAAACCGCCAGCTGATTTCAAGCCACAAAAACAACAAAGGACAATGGAGTGAGAGAGATACTGAGAACCAGAAACACTAAACTCTGAAAGTGGGCTGCACCTAAAAAGCCACAGGCAGATTCATTGGGGCAGAGGGAATCTTGCAGATACTTCAGATCAAAACCAGTACCTTGAACCAGAAGCTGGTAAAACACTGGCTGTGCTTATCATGGCAGGTACGTATTAACTTCACAGCCACCAACTGGGAATTCCAGATAGGTTTTGGGGTGGTCCAATGTAGAGTAATAGTCTAGTCTGGCTGTCAACAATGCTTGCATCACAGCTGCTAGTTTCACTTCCTCTGGGAAATGGCTGCAGCTGGCTAACCAGCTAAGCCCATAAACACGTTCCTGGCCATCTCCACCATCTGCTTATCCAGAGAGTGATGATGGAACCAAGAGCATTCCAAAACAGCTAGCTTGTTGGGGTAGAGAAACCCTATCCAGCCAGAGCACTTACCTCTTGTCTGGATTAAGTTTCAGTTACTTTGCCCAATTTAGACTGTCAGTGATTCCATGTACCAGTCCAGGGTATTCACTGCTTTCCTGGAACTGGATGGGAGCCCATTTATCAGGGTACTGATGACACCTTGCTCCAAATGATCTCTACCAGTGGTGCCACATAGTTGCTAAACTGCATGAGAACCCTGTGGTGCTCTGTAGCCTAAGAGCCATGGGGCAAAATAGCCACTGGCCACCACTGAACAGAACCATCGTAAATCCACGCTGCCAAACTTGTAACGGCCAAACACTGATAAAGACACCCCAGTTGACAGTACCAAAAGAAACCTTTTTCATATGTGGTGGGACTTGTGATAAAGTTAAAAAGTATTGGTCTTGGATTCATGAATGTTACCAAAAATGTTAGTATACCTTTTATACCTGAATTGTTTTTATTGAAGAATATAAAGCCTGAGAACTGTAAAAAACAAAATTTTTACCTTATTATACATGCATTGACTACTGCAAGAATTTTATATGCTAAATATTGGAGGGAAAATGAAGTGCCTTTAAAAGAAGAAATAAACAAAATTCTTGAAACTGCAGAGATGGATAATCTAACTTTAATTTTGAGAGGACAAGATGAAGGAAGCTTTGAAAATACATGGTCAAGATTTTACAAATGGTTGGAAGACTAAAATAAATAAACAATATGGTCATATAACCGTATTAGAAGAAAATATGAAGTATATTTTTAATTATAATGCAAATATTTACACAAAATACATGGTGGTAAAAAGAGATAATATAATACAAGTAGACAATGTATGAAGTCACATATTAGGCATAACAAAGATGTAAATGGAATCCCCCAATTTGTATGTATTTATGTTTGTTTGTTTCAAAAAATCATTTTAAAAAAGAAGAAGAAGCCAGGAGAACTAGTGGGGATGTACCTGTCCCTTTCAGCTGACGGGTGTAGATCATCAGCCATGGCAACCAAGGTAGTTTCCTTCCTGTACCCTGACCAGAAGCTACAGAGCCTGCTGTTTAATTTACCAACATGGTCTTCAAGCAGCTCATGCATATTAAGACTAATAGAAATAATTACCACAAGCAAACCAAACTTCCATGAATGACAAATAGAGTGCAGAGGATAAGCCTGACTACCCTGCGTTTTACAGCACCGCCACTTACACCTGCTCACCCGGCTCTGAAAGAACATCCCTAGAACTGAAGCAATGCCAGAATAAAACTGCAAGAAATAGGTGTGTTAGTCTGTAGTGATAGCATTAAAAAGGAGTCTTGTGGCACTATGAAGACTAGCGTTTTTATTCCAGCGTGAGCTTTCATGTATGAGAGCCCACTTCACCAGACGGATGTATTGTGTCTTCAGCAGGCAAACGTTCATATAAGAGGTTATGGAGATTTTTTTTTTTTTAAACTTGGTTAAAGAGCTGTGAAGATGTAATTCTGTAAGTTTAGGAATAAACCTGAAATGTCTGAAAGGTTATTCCTAAATAATGCTGTAAGCTTTAACGTACTGTCTCACAGGTCCTAGTATCTGAAATGCAATGTTTTCACTGAAAGAAAAATAGTAATTACCACACATTGCATAAACTTAACACATCTGCTCATGTTCTGCTCTTCATCCAGGGCAACATCTGTATTACAATAACCCTAGAAAATATATTAAATCAGAAGGCAAGACATGTTCAAGCGAATCTATTATATCAAGCGAATTCGCAACGGAACGCACTGTCCAGTGCACTGTACAATGTTGATGTACTAGTTTTTCTTAACTTTTATCTCTAGTTTTTAGTTGCACATAAATTGCAATTAGCATCTATAAATAATACACCCATAACTCAATGGTTATTTGCGATATTGCTGAAACGCTGCACTCTTCAGCAGCAAAGGTGCTGAAAAACATGTCTACCCTTGAAACCAGCTCCCCACCACATCTGTCAGAATTGGTGGGAATAGATCACTCCATCATGAGTTCATAAAAACAAGAAAAAATGCTCTAGAAACAATTTATGAAAGACTCCTATCCATATTTCATATCTGCCACAAAACCTCATCAGAGTAATAACCCTCCCCCTCCTGGGTGTTATCCTACCATCTGCTGCACTATTACTTATCTTTATTTTGCAACTAATTAACAGCATAATCTTCTAAATTCAGCAAGTTAATTATCATTATTGTGGTCTTTGCAGCATCATCAGTCCTCATGAAGTCTTGTCTCTCCCTCCCCCCCCCCCCCCCCCCCCCCCCCCCCCCCCACCACCATGAAAATTAAGTAGGTTGGGAGCAGGTCTGTTCCTTTAGAGCAGGCTCATTAGGTGTTTGCTGATTAGCTCGGCATGCAGAGAGGCAGGTCAGGAGAATTCTGCTGAACATGAGGTCCCATGCCGGGCTCAACAAAGTTAATGGGAGCTCCTGAACATTTGCCAAGCTGCCCTCTGTCAACTCTCAGTGGTAACCCCCTGCAGAAGAGCTACCGGCTCCCTACTATGCTTCAGGTATTTCTCAGTCTGTCACCAAAAAATGGTATATTGAGAATTCTGGAAAAAAACACTGCTTAAAGTTTTGGATTTTTTAAAACAAAACAAGACAATTTCAATTTCAAATGCTTTTGCTTCTGATTTTATCTAGAAAACAGTTCTAACTCTTTACAGGCTGCGAATCCAACACTTCAATTCAATTCAAACAGATCAGGACACTCGTTCAAAAAATTTTTTTCACCTTCGCAATACCCCTCTTCTCATTTTATGATACTTACACACATTCCAGAAAGGAATTTCGAAAATGTTTGTTGGTAACTGGGCAATTTTATTGTTCTGCATGAAGGCACAAAA